TGGAATGATAGAAACCTTCTTTCACACCTACAGACCATTATTCACAGGTTTCTATCATTGCACGCTCAACGGTTGTCTCGCTTTGATGTAAAGGCACGGCTACCTTTCAACATGGCGCAGGTAACCGTGAAGGAGACTATTGGTAGTTCATGTTTATCGAAGTAAACTAGTCGTAGTTGTCTGACAATTCAATGTTTACTCTGCAGGTATCAGCGCAAATGGAGCTGACGTACGGATTTCTTTATGCGACTCTAATTCGATTCAGGTCAGTTAAMGAYATMAAATGTTTTCCTGGYGAAAACTTTGAAATAAAGTAGAGCTATAAATAAATGTCAAGCCAGTTAATGTGGGAAACTGATACAAAAATTTGTATAGAGAATGTCCTTTCCTCTGACAATAAGCACTGTCACTCAACAATAACGTCCATCCTTGATATTAGTAAATGAAACTCGGTAATTGCGCTATTTTATATCCTATGATTTTAGTGTTTTCTATGGAAAAATGTAAGCAAATGTGCCCAACATAAAGGCCGGGACAAAATAGCTGCAAGACTCAACTAATTTCCCATCATGCTCTGTTCTAGMTTAAAATCATGGCGCCAATAAAAGCTGCATATTTTCTTAATTATAACCAAGCTTTCTTTGAACTGTTATGYWTTGTTTTAAACTTTCCAGTCCTCACATTCATCCACAAACAATGCAAACCGACGTCGTAGCAGAGATCAAAATAAACTGTTTACCACAAAAAGAAGAGTTACTKGCAGGGAAACTGGACATGATTCGCAAAAACACGCCGAATAAGATAGATTCTTCTTTCTTTGAGCTACAATATACGGGTAAGATTTGGAATAAATAAATCTAGACATACAGTCACATACAATGGCAGGCAGAGTGGGAAAGGGAAAAGATAGATCGACGAGAGAAAGACCATCAGACAGACATGTCGATAAACATCAAAAAATAATATGTTAGCCAAAACAAATATAAAATCCTACAGAAGTAGAAGTTTCTCGAACTAAAACATATCCTTTTGATTTTAAGATAAATGTGACTGTCCTCCACCTAAAGTTCACATCAAGGGGCTTTCCAAACGTGTYGAAGAAGCAACGAAAGTGTACAGAAATAGTCCAAGGCTATTTTATAMKATCCATAGCGAGTTTCCAGGGAAATGTGACACGAAAATTAAACTTGTTTCTTGGGAAGTAACTTTCATAACTAAGAAAGTGCAGACATTTCATCCCATGATYACCTCAGAGAAAATAACTGTGGAGAATTCATCGTCTCACAACGTTTTYCTCAGGAAYGATGCCCAGTTAGTGTACGTACGATGCAAGGTGTTCATGATACGTTCTCAAGGAGCCATTGGCTACGATTATGGATTTTTGGAAATCGTGACACCASAWCTAGTGGCGAAAATCTCAGGAAAGAAAACAGTTCGAAAAAATGATGACATTGTTCTTGATGGCTCAGGGTCGTTTGATCCGATTTTTCGACGCTATGGACATCGCTTTCTACGATTCCATTGGTCATGTAAAAGTAAACACAACAAGATTCTGGAAGAAAATATAATTGAAATACTTCAGGATTGCAATCAATACATTTCTAAACGTGACAGAAAAAGAACAAAATTACGAGTTAAAAGTAATCATCTTGCTGCCGGTGATTACATTTTTAGTCTGACAGTTTCAAAGAAAGATCGTCGAACAACTGCAAAGTTTGAATTAACCGTTGTGCCAGCTACCGTCCTTACAATAAGGTTTGTGAAAACATGATATACGTACTAAAGTGCACTATAGTGTTTGTATTATAGATTGCCTWATGAACAGGAAAAYACACCATCCCTCATCTATACAGCTTGGAGGCAGGTSATGCGACGCGCATCTTCTCCACGCTTGACGCGTGACCGAAAGGAGRCTAGCCATTCCGATGTTCATAACACAAATTYTAACTTTCTTATATTATATCCGCAGRTCCWGCGCGAGCTCTCTGCTATTATCAGACCTTAATTTCATSTTCTTAAATTGTAGATGTCCACTTTGTTCAAGAAGAATTTCCACCAACACAACCATAACYTTTAACGTCACTTGCCAAGGCAACGATTGCCATAGTAACYACACGTACAAGTGGATTGTATATAGACAAAGTTTTTCAGAAACCTGGGTAAAAGTCAAGAACATGTCGACATCGGTTACTAAAGATGGAGTAGAGTTCTCGATCTTATCCCCAGCACAACTCATTATCACTAGCAACAATGGAAACGATCATTTYAAAGCAGAAGTGATTCGAGAAGGGGACCACGGCACCACAAAGGAGAGCATACCATTYATAATTAACGGAGGACCCCGGTTGTTAAATAAAACGGGCGGATGTTACATCTCTCCGTCGTCAGGTATTGGAGTATCGACTATTTTCCATATATGGTGTAAAGGCTGGCATGACGAGGACTTGCCTCTATTATATCAATTCATTTATCACGAGAATTACGGTACTGTTATATTTCATTCTGGGTATCAATGCACCAAAAACACAACACTACCTCCTGGAAGAGAAGACAGCGATTTCAACCTTAAGTTACAAGTCAGTATAAGAGATGCAATCGGAAGCGAAACCATGCTGGATTTAATTGCAAAGGTATGAGCTACAAAACAGTTCTCAGTGACATTTTTAGTATTAATCGTGTTCACATAATATTCATTTTTGTGTGGGTAGTGCTTCTTTGGATGCGAAGCCACTATTATAGACTGTGGGTAATTCTAGTTCGGGCTACTTTTGTGGCATTTTGCGGTCGCCATATCTTTTTTATCTTGTRATAATTGGCCGTTCCACCGGGCCTAGTTTCAAATATCTCGGGTCGAAACTTGTRATATCGTGCCTCTGGGATGTTYAAAACAAAGAAAAGTCAATTTTKAAGCATKGGTTKTTTTCCCTTTTTGATTTTGAGGTYGTTTACATTCTTTTGTCATCAAGTATGGCGGGTTAAGTACCATGTGACCATATCATGCAAAAAACCTATTATGATAAAAACTATATCAGCTTCATTAAAGCGTTCATTATTTCTTAGGTAAGACCGTCCTACGATCTCCATGAATTCAACAAAAGATACAAGAATTTCACGTTAACCGCATCGAAGCTTGTGAAAAAAGGTTGGGTTGACCAGACAGCAGAAAACGCATTATCTCTTATACAAACAGCTGAAAAGGTTCTGCCCAAAGAGACGGATCAAGTACAGGTTAGTGGGAAATCATCCTTGTCTATATAGCCAGCGTTTATCTTCAGAAAATAGCGGATCTGAGATGGAAAATGCCTAACTTTCCCAATTCACCTATTACGCATGACATTCAAAAAGTCATCAAGTAACGTCTGGTTTCCATCAAAGTCTTCGCATGAGTTGTCTCCTCTCGCAGCCGTTCCCAGGTCTCGCCCAATAACGTTAGGGGAGAGAGACCTGGGAACGAGCCTCGCAGCGGCTGCGAGAGGAGGCTATCGCACTAGCGAATGTAAACAGCAGAGACAGTCATTCTTACCAAAGTCAAGGAAAATTCTTCTTAAACCTAAAAAAGTGTATATAAAAAATGATTTTTGATGCATTGTGGCATTGCTCTTACTTAAATATTCATTTGTTTTGGTAGCTGAAGGATACGGTCTTAACAAGCATTCAGGACATCAAGCTTAATACAATATCTCAAATTACAAAGGTTGTTGCAATTGTAGCATTGGCTACAAATCGAAGCCAGAACCTTGGACACCGGGTGCGAGTAAGTACTATTTATGACTCAACAAAAGTGACTCTTCGTTGCTACACCTAAATTCCAATACAACCTAGGTTTCTAGGTGGATGGTAGGTGAAGTACTAACTTTAGAGAGTCGGTCCCACATCTGCTACACCTATAAAAGCATTCTAGCTAATGAGATTGCAGTTCCATCTTGTGGACAAAACAATAGAGTCTCGTTCCCAGGATAAAAACAAATCTTTTATTTTGTCCATCAGTTGAAGCTGATTTTAAGTCGCGAATTGTATTATAGATATCAAATATCAAGGAATATTGAATAGAATAAAAAACCTCGCTTCATGCTCTGCAAAGACCTCAGAGGAAAGTCTTCAAAAGCTAGTCTTTAACAAAAAGAGGAAATCCTGTGGAAAAACTCTTGAAGAGATATTATCAACTCACAAACTAACAACAACATCGTACAACTATTGAAATGTAACATGTACCATATGATACTGAATTAATTTTTAAATTTTTAAATTTTTTTAATTAATTTTTTTTATATATATTAAAATATTTCCAATCGACAGGAAGAGTCTTTAAACCTTCTTCAAAAATCTATGAAGACAATGAGTGCGCTACAAGAAGCAGCGARATTTGGTGAATTAGAAATTGCCAAAAACATCACTACCACCTTAATGATGGGAATAGAAAGAGTAATCTTGTCATCAATTGTTGAACAAGATCAATATGTAAGTAACGCAAATCCTCGGGGGATAGGAACTATATATGGAACTATATATGGGATGTCAATTTTCCCATTATCTGCGCAAAGCTCAAAGGTACAAACGTTATYTTATAGCGATGGTGACTKTTGTTTCACATTTTGTTGTTTCTAGTCAAAGAATGATACCAAGGCAGCCTTRCAAATARCAGAACGRGTTGCAGATACTCTCTTGGCATTAAAGCGAGTAGGAGATCCTCCCTCAGTTATAAAAACAAGAAGCATCGACATCATGGTATATCGTGCCAAACCCGAAGAYGTCGGAGGAAAGGACATCTCTGAAGGAAACGCAGGAGTAAAATTGCCTTCAAAGGATGTACTTTTTGGAAAAAACAGCAATGTGCCATTCGTCGACTTCCAGGTGAATGGAAACTGTTTGATATTGACTGACGGACCAATTTATAGCAGCGTACTAATACACTGCTCTGATATTCAGTGGTATGGTGCACTTTTTTTCGCTGGAGCTATCAGAATGATCTGCATATTTATGTACTTTATTAGTCAGATTTTTATTCACTTAGGCGATAGATGTGGTAAAACAATGGCCACGGAAATGGTTGAAGAATTGATTACTTTCTATACTTAGGAAATATTTGACAGAAATACATTGACTAATATGTTGTCACGTTTAATTTTCAGATGATAAAACATGTCAACAACCCGTACACATGGGATTCAAAGTCCTCATATATTCGTTCAGGCGTTATAGACGTTACATTAAAACAAAAATCTAAAAAGATGGAAATATCAAATCTTGAAAATCCTGTCAGTCTTTCCATACCAAAGGATACGATAGATTTCACMCCAACCAAAAAGCCTGAGGATAATTTCTTCATAAAACCATCMAACGGTTCAACCAACTTTCGATACCATCCCTTYAMCATTGAGTCTGATTCACATACAGTTATGTTTGAAGTCATTCCTGAAGAAGGGCAATCACTTGAAGTCTTTGTTCGAGCAGTTGATAGACCAACAGATACAAAATTCAACTATACAACAAAAGTTCCTGAGGTCTCWTCTTGCAGCAACTCAAGCATTGACAACAACTGCTTCTACACTAATTACAARATCGAAATCACAAGTAAACTAACTGGCATGACTGGGCTTCATTACCTAGGGCTTCGATTCCTTGAGGATGGTAGCAATACAGACAATGAGATTCGAGTTCGYAAGCGAAGAGATTGTACAAGTTCTGGTGGAAGACAAAAAAGGTCGTGTGTTGGAGTAAAAGATCCTCCTACAACACCTCCTCCAACTCCAGTCACTGTAATTCCTGTATATAACCCATTGACTGATGTAAATTATACGCTTACTTCGACTGTCTCCTTTTGTGGTTATTGGAAYGAAGAGGAAGAACAATGGACGTCCATGGGCTGCAAGGTACAACACTTTTTGATTTATTAATAATATAACGAACTATGTTGCCTTCACAACTAAACGGAAAAATGCAGTATAAAGTATACACGTGATCTATGTTAGTGCATCATTATTTCCTATGCTGCTGGTTAGCATGTTTGACCAATCAAATTTTTGTAATACTGGAACCAAGAAAAGTCCATGGCTTCAAACAGGAGTGATCGTTTTAAAATGTTCTTCTAATATCGTACTTGGCTTATGTGCTTCCAGTGTTTACGCATTGCCTCGCATTGTGTTCGCATTGTTCTTTTGGAGTAGCAAATTACATGCACTGCATATTTAACCAATATTTTTTAAGATCAACCGCAGTTTTCCTTATTTCTAACCTGATCCCACTTTGATWTATTGTATAATTAAGTTTCATAATGGGAAGGAATAATCCCTGAACATTCTGTTTTAGGTTGATCAGAATAACATTGGAAAACAAATTGCTTGCCTTTGCAATCATTTGTCTGCGTTTGGAGGTGACTTCTTTGTTGCWCCAAATCCTATCGACTTTGACAAAGTTTTCYTGGAATTTGGTCGCCTGGGAGAAACGGGAAACTACGTTGTTCTATCCACTGTATGCTTGCTGTGGGCTTTGTATCTTATTGGACTTGTAATAGCAAGGAAAGCAGATAAACACGACAAGAATAAGGTTTGCTTTTTTCCTTTTATACCCAAGATGTTTTAATTTTTTACCGAGAAAGTGCCCTTCTCATAATATATGTTACAGAGAGGAACATGACCCTATAAGCAGGATGAATGCCCCAGTGCATAAATAATAACAACCGAATTATTTTTGCTATAGATTATACTTCAAGTGATCTCTTCTGAAGACGAAAGTGCTTACTGCTACAAGATATCAATCGAAACTGGAATGTGGTATGGAAATGGTACYACCGCTGATGTCACYATTGAACTTTWTGGTACTGAAGGTTGTTCAGGACCTTTATATCTCAATAATCCAAACTCTGAAAAACGATTTTTCTCTCGAAGTAGCATTAACATATTTTATGTTTCTTTACCTGATTCACTTGGCGACCTGAATAAAATAAAAGTCCAACATAACAACGGAGGATCAAGTCCATCTTGGTATCTTAAGGATGTCTTCGTAGTTGATATCCAATCAGGCTCTAAATCACACTTCGTGGCAGACCGATGGATAGCTGTACATAGAAATGATGGAAAACTCGAGTGCATTCTACAGGAAACGGAAGAAAACGGAAAAATTCCCTTYAAGAGTGCGYTTCGTTCTAGAATGTCCAAAAAACTGGGAGAATCTCATTTATGGGTTTCCCTGTTTAGYCGGCCTCCCCAGAATCCTTTTACACGCTGCCAACGCCTATCCTGTTGTATTTCAGTGTTGTTTGCGGCWATGGTCACTAGTGCAATGTTTTATAGATTTGGAATTGAATCCAAAGACACAATACACATTGGAAGCTTTAAAATCAGCTGGACAGAAATAAAGATCGGAATTCAAAGTGCACTCATTGCATTTCCCGTGAATATACTAATYGTTACGATGTTCAAAAATATAAAACAACCACAAACTCAATCAGATCTTGACATTGAACAAGATGTAAAGACACCYGGATTTCTTCCCAGCTTCTTCATCTACATAACCTGGGTTTTGTGCATAGCCGTGGCGCTTGTTTCATCCACATTTGTAGTRTTCTAYAGTCTCACATGGGGCGCTTCTACTTCMAACCAGTGGCTTAAGTCTATCATGATATCATTYTTTCAAGATTCTCTTGTCATTCAACCCATTAAAATCATTGGTATTGCTTTCTTGCTTTCAATGATCTTCAGACGGGCAGATGACCACGAGGCCGTCCTGGATATACCAACCGTCAATACTAACTCACAATCTCCATTGTCATACGATTCTCCTTCTCCTGACGAGATTGAAAAAAGCCGTAGTATCAAGTCAAGGGGTGTCAGGTTATCAATTGCATTGATTGAGATGGCTTTGTTTTTCGTATTTGTGCTTCTTCTWACTCTTGTAGTATATGGAAATAGAGGAGTTGCAAGATTTTCAATAACCAGTCATCTTGAAGAAACTTTTTCTCATTTCCAAAATGTGAGTGATATTCCATGTTACACTTCCCAGCGCCATCATGACAGGTAGCCTAACCTTTGCATCACATCGAGACAGTGATTTCGATGTTAATCTATGAATAATTGCCCTATGTATGAAAAGGTATCCATTTCTGCAAGCTCAGTTGACAAGCAAAGGGTTGGCTACTTTTTGAGATGGCGCTGGATCTATAAATTTGAGTATTCCGAGCAAATTTACTTACAAATTAAGTTGCAGGAAGAGATTGCAGAATCTAGTAAGATGTGTATAAGAGYACCAGTAGGGCCACTGACAGATGACCAATGACTCGCTAGGGAATGTGGGATCGGCGTAGAAATCATATATATATATGAACACTAACACTTTCTAAACACTTCTCCAATTTCAGATAAAAAATCAATCTATGTTTTGGTCTTGGACAAAAGTGGATTTCCTCCAATCAGTATACAATGTCACGTGGTATAATAAGCAACCCTTTAGAGGCCCTGAAGGTTAYATTAGCAGCAGATCAATGTTTCTGGTTGGGATGCCAAGAATAAGGCAAATACGAGTGAAGCCAGGTAATGACGTGTCCAAAACCCAGTTGAATCAAATGTACTATTTCCCTTTTGAAACGAAATGAGYTGCTGGTAAGAGTTGTCCACCTATGAGAAAGGTTTCATGAAACGGGGAAATGCTATAACGCAATGCCCTCATCCCCTCTCGAGAACATTTCTAAACAATAGCAGATTAAAACAAAAGATTCCTTCACGTTTTACGTTTACTTTAAAGACAAATATTTCAAGAGTTAGCTGAACGAGCTGACAACAAGCAGAAGTTTGTAGGACATGYAGCTCGGTCAGAAAATCAATGTCATGTCAAATATACAAATAAACTTATGTGTTACTTACTTTGTTTCTTTATAGACTACAACTGCTTAGCAATACTGAACATGGTCCAAATGCTTCACCTGGAAAGGTGCTTCCATTATTCTGCGGAGAACGAAGAAACATCTGAATACAATTGGATGGACTGGACACCAATGTCAAATGTAACAATCTTCAAATCCGAGTTCGAACTAAGAAAAGTCTGTCCCATTCCCTGGCGCTACAAAACCGCACAAGAACTTCAAACGCTGCCGATAGCAGGGCAGTATAAGTACTATTATGGTGGAGGATACGTTGCTGATTTGGGATATAATCTTAAGACAGCCAAGGGTGTTATATCAACTCTTGAAAACAACAACTGGCTAGATTCACTAACCGCTGCGGTATTGACAGAGTTCACCGTGTTCCAGCCAAGCAGTCAGCTATTTTCCGTTGTTAAACTCTTATACGAAAGACTGCCTACAGGGGGTGTGAATATAGTTCCTAGCGTACAAACAATTCCGGTCTATTTTCGAAATACAGGATCGAATATTGCAAATATATGCCAGCCACTTTTTATGCTTGTTGTTTTGTTGTTGTTCAATCTTGAGTTGGTAAGACTGTTCTTTCAAAAGTGCTCTTATCTCAAAGACTTCTGGAACTGGCTTACTTTATGTCAATGTTTTGGTTCTATGGCGATTGTTGTGATCTTCTTCTGTAAACAGAAGTTTGCTTCGGCCTATGTTAAGAAAGTCCACGAAAATCCATACCAGACAACAAGCTGTGACCTACTTATACTGTGGACAGACATAGAGATGTACACTATTTCATTTGTCATGTTTGTAACGACTATCAAATGTCTCAGACTATTTCGTTTTGTGCCACAAATCTGTCAGATGACAAGCACCCTAAAAGCATCAGGGAAATTTCTGTGCTCACATGTGAGTTCATTTGTCATCGTTATTTTGGCGTTTACAGAACTTGCGAGTACCGTTTTTGGTTCGGTTATGCCCACTTACGCAACATTCATTGGTACCGTGAGCTCATTGCTGCAACAGCTTGTCGGTGGGCGCTTCTACTTCACTTCAGTGCGTTCTATAGATCCAGTCCTTGGTCCAATATTTACATTTTCATATATTTTTATATCAACTGTGTTCCTTGTTAACATGTTCATTGCCATATTAAACGAAACCTACGCTACCATACGMTATGAACATGCAAAYGAAAACTTCCAGGATGCCGAACTTGGAGAATTTCTCATCTCGGTGCTCAAGCAACTCAATAAAGAATCAAGAGCCAAACTTTGGAAAAACATTAAAAATYTGGCTTTTGGAAGAAAAGGAAAATATGAAGTCCAAGCAATAGCAGAGAAATCAAAACATTSTAAGAAGCTGTCCAAATTTAGAAAATTCGGTTTTCCGAGGATGAAATTGTTTAAAAGTCAAAGCGGGTCTTATAACTTTCGAATGATTGATCAAGGTGATGGATACTCCTATCAAGTCATACCACAAGAGATATTAATGGATCCAGATCTCTCAGATAACATAATGGGAATTTCTTACAAGCCCTTTACAGTGCATGACATAATTCAATACGACAATGAAGTGACAAAGACTAGCACTTTTGGCCCAAAACTTGCTACATTTGACTCTGAAAGAAGCCTTAATYTAGCTAGTACCATGGATATGACTTTCAGCACTGAAWAKCAGCTGAAAAAGAYAGATATGGAGATTGATTTTGTTAAGAAAAGCTTTCAAGACATTCGACAAGAGCTTTTGTCTATGTCAACTGTAACATTAACATCAAATAATGACAGCGCCTACGACAATGGTTCACCCTACTGGGATGAATTAAGTGATGTGGAGAGCGAGCCCAGTATCAAGTTCATCTATCATCTTTAAAATGATAAATTCATACAACAATGGCAATATAATACAATACGGACAATAATCATATGGATAGGGGAATAATCTATGAGTTAAATGGTTTATATAGTGATAATATGAAAGCATATTATCTGAATATAGAGACAATTGCATGATATATTAAGGGATAACCTTGCGCATAAGATTTTTATGTCATAAATAATTATATAATGAATAATTTGTATTTATCATAAATAAACATTTTTGTATAAACAGCAAGCYGCATGACTTAATATTTTCATTTGTTAACGTGCATTTACATTTTTACATTTTTCTTCCTTTTTTTTTCACGCCTTACGGTACGATATTGTATGGACGCTATAACAGAATCAGGTTTAAAAACAATCAAGATGCAATTTGCATTGGTTCCCAGGGAACAGGAACGACTGAGCTCGAACAATGAAACAAAAGCTGATCAACCTCTATGGATTAGAGACTCCTTATGGCAAAGGCATGATAGAAAATATAGTATAATTCGATACTAACCTAGTATTAAATCTTTGCTACAATAGCTACAGCCTTCCGACCACTTCGTCCGCCATTTTGGATCGTCAACAAACAGGGATCCCGGTATGAATACACAGGAATCCCGCTCAGACTGTACCGTCTCCTGTTATTGATAAAAAAAACATCCAGATATAAAAAAAACGTAATAAAAATCATGTATTATAGAAAAGGTACAGTTTATGAAATGAAATCGAATAAGCGTGGCGCCTWGTCGTCCCACGGCTTCAAATAGATCCTGTATTAAAAATGTGGTCAAAATGTGCACGTGATACGTGCTTGTGTTTGATTTTTTAGTTACTTAAACGAATTTTCTAACAGCTGAATTCATTTCTGTTAATCGTGGAACATATCACAAAATGCGATGGGATTTTTTGTCTAGTACGCTCATGTCATGAAGCGCGACACATATTATGGTTGAGGGGGCTAGCGACCGCCCAAGGCGGGATTATTAAGGGGGTTTAAAATAATAACTCTTGGAAATGCGATTTCCAGCGTTTTGAGGTTCTTTTTGATAACGAAGCCTGGTTGGAGAAATCAAGTAAAGAAAACTAAATCCCGAAAAGAAAAAAAAATCACGAAAATTGTTATATAATTCCCTTGCCACTAGCACGCACGTGCGTATATGCGTAAAGGACGCTACGCGCCTGGACTTTGGTATTTGTAACAGAAGGACCGGGTTGAAACTCAGTTTTACCCTAGCGTTGCATAGGTAGAAGTAGTCCTTCGTACTGACGGCAAACGGGATTGAATGAGACTTATTTATTTTATGGTCACAGTGCGACGTGACGGGTAAATATGGTTTCATGTTTGACAGAGATTGTCTATCATTGAAACACATGGGAGAAAATGAACCATACATTTGGAACATTTGCTTATTTCGGTCCCAAGCTCTCTCTTGATACGAAATAGAGGCTTGAACATGCGCGCTAAGCCGTTATTAAAATGCTGGATCAACCGAAGAGAGTGAGAAGAGAGGTCGACATCCGCATGGTTTTTGTAAATCTGTAAGGTCTCGAAAATCAAATAACAAAGCGAAGATTACTAAGAAGGGCATTGGGGTCTCTCTAGAAAGGTCACAACTCGCAAGGATAAAATGTGTTCAAACTTACATTTAACTGAGTCCATACATAAAGCGGGTTATTGAGAAACGTTTGAAATCGTATTTTTGTTAGCTATAAATGTATCTCATCTGTGTAAGTAAGTCATTTTTGGGGACCATGCGATTAGCCCCCCAAAAAACTATTTGTAAAATCACAATAACGACGTTGTTATTCACGTCCAAAAACAGAATATGTTCGTTTTTAATCTCCTCAGAAAGATTCTTTTAAAGCTAGTTTTGTTTTAAGACTTATATATTTGGTCTATAGTTGTACAAAATGATTCCCTGAAGAAGCCTCCGTTAAGAGACGAGGAGGAAATTAATAAACACATGAAGATTACAGCTTCAAAGAGTTCTCCTTGGCGCTGCACACTAGTCATTAAGTTAAAACAAATTTGCTAATCATCGAGACAGCGTGACAAAACAGCTTTTATAAGAATGAATGCCACGAAAAATGTAGCTTTCTCAATCGATTAGGCTATACACGCCTTGTCAGGCGAATACAGGCGAGATACAATTTTAAGTAGAACGCGCTAAAATGTCACTAAAATTTCACCAAAAACATTTTATAGGTTCCCTGAATAGTTTATTCAACTGTACCCGTACCTGTTTTTTGTCTAGATAATTGTTATTTTGAGAAAATGCTCCAAACGCTTTCTTGACTTTACAGTTCAAGTTGTAGATATTATTCGACAGAAAGTTATTAAAGAACGCTTTCTTGACTTTACAGTTCGAGTTTTAGCTTTATTCGACAGAAGTT